TATGTGTCTTATGGAGATGCTTGGAAGCGACCACACACCAGTTCTCCCATGGGGTACTGGTCAATAGGGAGGAGCCAGAAGCGCCAGTGGGGGATCTGGAAGAAGAAGAGGATCGGGGCTGCTCTGTGCACTAACCACTGCACAGAGCAGGTAAGTATGACATGTATGTTATAAAAAAAAGGAACCTTTAATATCAAAAAGGTAAAATATATTTTTTTTTTTTCACAGCAGTTTTCCTGGTAGGTAGATAAACTTTAAAGGTTTTCAACAATTATTTTGATTTTATCTTGTTATTGCTCCAGTGATGATAACCACAATAACTGAATACCTGACTGCATGCATTTGTAAACATATACAAATTCTGGAGCCCTGTATAGCAATAGATCTTAGTGTAGAAAGCCAAGCAAACAAATTAATCCACCGCTGAAATATTTACCGTTGCCCTGCCAAAGAATTTGTAATTTAGGCCACAGTAGAGCCTTCTTAGGCTAGAAAGTATTTTCATGTCTCATTCCATCATATACAAAAAATAAGAAGATTCATCTTTCTTTCAGAATAGTGGGTGAGGCCATGCAAATTATTCAGCTATTCTTGTAAAGCTAACACTTTAACTATTTCATGTTTTAGTTACAGCTTACTGAGCCTGCTTTACTGCTTCTTATGTCAGCTTGTGGCACCCCCATAGCTAGAATTATTCGCAAAATCCCCTCCTAGGGAATTGGGGCATTAAGCCAGTTCCCAGCTCAGGTACCAAGCTTTGTGGTGAAGGAGCAGCATAGCTCAACTTCATTCCACTAGCTCTATTTCACTTATAGGTTCTAGTACATATTTAGCCATTAGGCCTGACCATGAATGCAACTAACATGGCCTTGTTTTCCCTATGGTTCCAGATTTGGACCAGAATTTCAGTGTCAATTTTGGGCACTGGTTTCCTCAGGATGGCCAGTGACGGGCTTCAAAAAATGGCTAGTGAAGCCCACTGCAGATAACAAATCAATGCCACACTGGGCTTCATTAGTGTGTGCTCCATATACCCAGCGAACACTGGGAGACAATAATGGCCAGCATCACACCACAGTACAATATAGGTAGGCGAGCAGCAGCATATGGCTGGAACCTGTCCTCCCCAAAAGCAACTCCCTCCAGCTCATTGGATAGATATATTGATGCTGATTCACTCTCCAAAGAGGAGGCTGAAAGTGGAGACATGACTTATGAAGCAGAATTGCTACACCAAGCCCCCTCATTCCCCTCCAAATCATTGGATTCAGGTGTTCCAATCACCTCCATGATCACAGGTGTATAAAATCAAGCACCTAGGCATGCAGACGGCTTCTACAAACATTTGTGAAAGAATGGGTCACTCTCAGGAGCTCAGTGAATTCAAGCATGGTACCGTGATAGGCTGCCATCTGTGCAATAAATCCATCAGTGGAATTTCCTTGCTGCTAAATATTCCATGGTTAACTGTTAGTAGCATTACAACAAAGTGGAAGCTACTGGGAACAACAAGAAAAAACCTCTTGCGCTACCATTAAACACTGATATAAAGATCTAAGAAAGCAGCAAGCACCCAGCTATATACTGAAATAGAGAAAATGCAGAGGAAGGGGAAATAGTGCTGCGCTAACAAACACAGGGGAATAAAAATGAACTAAAGATAGTGGATGACCATAAAAAACATAACACATGCTGAAGTGTGCAGTGTGCAGATGTCACCAACTGTCTGCAAAGTCAATAGTTAAAGACCTCCAAACTTTGTGTGGCCTTCATATTAGCCCAGCAACAGTGCGTAGAGAGCTTCATGGAATGGGTTTCCATGGCCGAGCAGCTGCATCCAAGCCTTACATCACCAAGTGCAATGCAAAGCGTCAGATGCAGTGGTGTGAAGCACGCCGCCACTGGACTCTAGAGCAGTGGAGACGTGTTCTCTGGAGTGATGAATCACACTTCTCTGTCTGGCAATCCAATGGATATGTCTGGGTTTGGCAGTTGCCAGGAGAACTGTAGTTGCCTGATTGCATTGTGCCAAATGTAAAGTTTGGTGTAGGGGGGATTATGGCGTGGGTTGTTTTCAGGGGTTGGGCTTGGACCCTTAGTTCCAGTGAAGGGAACTCTTAAGGCGTCAATTTCTTGCTCCCAACTTTGTGGGAACAGTTTAGGGATGGCCCCTTCCTGTTCCAATATGACTGCACACCAGTGCACAAAGCAAGGTCCATAAAGACATGGATTAGCCAGTTTGGGGTGGAGGAACTTGAGGTCCTGACCTCAACCTGATAGAACACCTTTGAGATGAATTAGAGCGCAGACTGAGAGCCAGGCCTTCTCCTCCGTCATCAGTGCCTGACCTAACAAATGCACTTCTGCAAAAATGCTCTAACATTCCCATAGACACACTCCTAAACCTTGTGGACAGCCTTCCCAGAAGAGTTGAAGCTGTTATAGCTGCAAAGGGTGGGCCAACTCAATATTGAACCCTACGGACTAAGACTGCAATACCATTAAGTTTCATATGCATGTAATGGCAGCGTCCCAAAACTTTTGACAATATAGTGTATGTTGTAAAATCTGTGATCAGGTAATCGTCACAGTGCTCTACTGTGTGGAGTACTATAATACTATAATATCATCTCTGTATCAAAGACGAAACCATACAATGCCCAATTGTCTAGAAGCTGTTGCATTGCTAGCAGTAGTATTATTGTGGTATGGAATTAGTGACCTCTGTTATAAGAGAACTCCAGATTCAAAGCTTCCAGCCTAACAAATTAGGAACATATTTCCTACAAACCTTGAATCTATTATTATTCTGACTCATAATGAAACACCATGACAACTAATTTTCTGAAAAGGTGAATACAAATTTATTGAAAGCTTGAATGACATATCATAAACCCACCTCTGGAAATTCACAAAAATGCAGACACATAATCATAATAATGATAGATAAGTGATTTTATAATGTTAGCTGTGTTTGAATGTGTTGCATTTTGAATGTCTTTGAAGAAAAGGCTTTAATCTGTTCTGTGTATTCCTTTGATATAGTCACTGAGACAAAACTCTGAAAAATAGCTTGGTGTTGATGCATAAGCAAGATCATGCCAATAATGATCAATCTACTTTGCATTCCTCATTACATCTTAAAGTGCATGTATAGCCAAAACTTTTGTTTTATTTTTGAACAGAGTATGAAAATTAGTTTATTCTTGCTATCTGTGTACCATTGGGGAAATGTCCCTTAATTTCTTGTCCCAGAGATACAACAGGTAGTTAGAAGAAATCTCCCAAAGTGCAAATTCTCCTCTTAGATAGTTGCTCCATGGATTAAATGCACCTATCGCTTACCTCCCAACTTTCTGAGATGGGAATGAAGGACACCTATTCGCTAAAGTATGTAGGCATAGGACACGCACTGTGCAACGCCCCCCTTATAGGAGAATTGTACAAAAAAAATGATTGGCCAAACCCACTAGTGCTTTTTTACAACATCTATTCCTTTATATTGGCTTTTGGAACTTACAAATGCAGCAATTCAGAAATTGGATGAACGGTTTAGCATTGTAAATCATTTTTTGATAGAAAAGATTTTGTCTCAACTTTTGTTCCAGGACAACTCAAAAATTTTAGATTTGCTATGACTTTCTCTGTGACAGTAGTTACCAGTACAAGTAGAAGGGTGAAACTCCCCAATAGGGATGCAGACAGCAATTCAAATTTGACAGAGGGTATAACTCTTTAAGTTCTATCTAACACTAAAAAAAATTTATCTATAGATACACTTTAACTTTACTAAACATGGGAATCTTCCATTTTTCTAGGATAATTTAGTAACTTGCCATACGCCCTATAGCAGTTTTATTGCTACAGGGCGAACATTCTGTGCAAAATCAAGTATATAAATGTGATTTTTCTCTTCTGCCACTGGGGGCATGCACCTGTCGGTACTGATGTGATGTTGATTGCCCAGGAGACTGACAGAACTCAGCTCTGCCTATGGAAACAAGGCAGAGCTGTGTTATGTCAACGGCATATGTCAAATAGCAGATTACCTAGTAAAAACAACATACACAGTACACACAAAAGTACTGGCTAGGCATACAATTAACATTTTGATTATACTAGATGTTTAACCCCTTCCCAGTCAGTGTCATTAAAGTGTAGTAACACACAGCAGTAAAATCAGTCTTTATATGCAGTAAAGCATGCTTGTTATACTCACTGTGGAACCTAAGGGGTTTATACTCTGCATTGTGTAAAAAGGTTGTTTGATCCTTTCTTCTCTGCCCCTCCTCTTGTTGAAATGACCACCTGATACAGACTGAACTCATGATCACATGCACATGCTCAGTTTGGTGTGTATTGCTAGATAGGGTTTTTTTTTTTTCTTGATAGGGTGCATGTGATCAGCACAGGGCCAATCAGAACTGTCCAGACAGAGGGTCAGAGGTTCTAAATCCTCCTAGAGCAGAAAGAAAACTCCTCCTACAATCTTTAACCAGTGCTCTGCTGAAGTCACAAGACTGCTCTAACTGCTGATGAGAAAAGGTATTTAGAAGTTTATATTTACTAAGCTAATTGCATTTCCATGTTCTGTGTACTGTGGGAGACCAGATATAATGGATGCAGTGTCCTGGGTTTAGTAACACTTTAATACAGTGACTGTGTATATTTTTAGCACCAATCACTGTATTAGTGTCACCGGTTACCACAAAGTGTCAGTTAGTGTTAGTTAGTGTCAGACTGCCTGCCGCAATATCGCAGTCCTGCTATAAGTTGCTCATTGCTGTCATTGCTAGTTTAACCGCCTCTCGCCCGCCATTTAAGGAAATGATGGGCACAAGGCGGTTCTCTCGTTCTGGGAGGACGTCATATGACGTCCTCCCATTCTAACCGCGTGTGCACAGCTCCGGGAGCACGCAGAGCGCCGATTGGTGGTGCGCTGTGTCCCTCGGACACATCGGATAACCGATCAATGGAGAGAGTCAAAGATGTCGGCTTGGTCATGTGATCAGCTGTGTCCAATCACAGCTGATCACATGTAAATAGGGAAATACCGGTTATCAGCATTTCTCTCCTCACGAGCTGTCACCCTGACAGCTTGAGAGGAGAGCCGGTAATCGGCATTCCTCAGAGGAGACATGTACACTGATCATCAGGGCACTGATGATCAGCATGCCCTGATGATCAGTGTAGCCCCTGCAGTGCCATCTGTCAGTGCCCATCAATGCCAGCTGTCAGTGCTCATCAATGCCACCTGCCAGTGCCTATCAGTGCCTCATCAATGCCAAATATCAGTGCCTGCCAGTGCACATCAATGCCACATATCAGTGCCTATCTGAGCTGCCTTTCAGTGCCACCTATTAGTACCAGGCAGTGCCACCTATCAATGCTAGTCAGTACCACCTGTCAGTGCTGCCAATCAGTGCCACCTATCAGTGCCAGTCAGTGCTGCCTATCAGTGCGCATCAGTGCCACCTGTCAGTGCCCATCAGTGCTGCCTATCAGTGCTGCCTAACAGTGCCAGTCAGTACCACCTAACAGTGCCAGTCAGTGCTGTCTATCAGTGCCAGTCAGTGCTGCCTATCAGTGCCACCTATCAGTCAGTGCCATATATGAGTGCTGCCTTTCAGTGCTCATCAATGATGCCTGTCAATGTCCATCAGTGCCACCTACCAGTGCCTCCTCATCAGTGCTCATCAGTGCCACCTATCTGTGCCCATCAGTGCAGCCTATCAGTGCCCATCACTGCATGCTCATTAGCGGACATCAGTGAAGGATAAAAATCACTTATTTACAAAAGTAACAAAAACTAAGAAAAAACTTTTTTTTCAACAGTTTCAGTTGTTTTTGGTTTGTGTAGCAAAAAAAAAAAAACCCAGAGGTGATGAAATACCACCAAAAGAAAGCTCTATCTGTCGCAAAAAAAAATGATAAAAATGTGATATGGGTACAGTGTTGCATGACCACGCAATTGTCATTCAAAGTGCAACAGCGCTGAAAGCTGAAAATTGGCCTGGGCAGGAAGGGGGTATACGTGCCCTGTAGGCAAGTGGTTAAAAAGAAAAAAATCTGAATATATACTGCCATTTGTAGACCCTATAACTTTTGTGCAAACCAATCAATATATACTTATTGGGGTGGATGGAAGGAAGGAAGGGAAGGGTGGGTGGAAGGAAGCAGTGGGTGGAAGGAAGGGGTGAGTGGAAGGAAGGAAGGGTGGGGTGGAAAGAAGGGGTGGGTGGAAGGGAAGGAAAGGAAGGAGGGGGAAGAAAGGGGGAGGGGGGGGGGGGGGGGAGAAAGGGGGGGGGGGGGGAAGGAAGGGGGGGGAAAGGAGGGGTGGGGGGGGGAAGGGGGGGGTGAAGGGGGGGGGGAGGGGAAGGGGGGGGAAAGGGGGGGGGGAAGGGGGGGGGGGGGAAGGGGGGGGAGGGGAGGGGAAGGGGAAGGGTGGGGGGAAGGAGAGGGGAAGGAGGGGGGGGGAGGGGGGGGGGGGAAGGGAGGGGAAGGGACGAAGGGGGGGGGGGGGGAGGAAGGGAGGGGGGGGGGGGGAAAGGGGGGGGGAAGGGGGGAGGGGGGGGGGGGAAGGGGGGGAAAGGAAGGGGAGAAGGGGGAAGGGGGGGGGGGGGGGGGGTGGGTGGGGGAAGGGGAAAGGAAGGGGAGGTGGGTGGGGGGGTAGGGGAAAGATGGAGAGGGGTTGAAGAAAAGGGGGGGGGGGGAAGGGGGGGGGGGTGGGGGGGGGGGGAAGGGGGGGAAGGGGTGGACGGAAGAGGAAGGGGGGGGGGGAAGGGGGGGGGGGGGGGGGGTGGGGGGGGAAGGAATGAAGGGTGGGGGGGGGAAGGATGGGAAGGGGGGGGGAGGGGAGGGGGGGAGGGGGGGGGGGGGAGGGAAGGAGGGGGGGGGGGGGTGGAGGGGAGGGGGAAAGGGAAGGAAGGGGGGGGGGGGAGGGGAAGGAAGGGAAAGGGGTGGAAGGGGGGGATGGGGGGAAGGGGTAAATGGGGAAGGAAGGGGGGTGGGGGGGGGGGGGGGGGAGGAAGGAAGGGGGGGGGGGGGGGAGGGAAGGGGAGGGGGGGGGGAGGAAGGCTAGGGGGGGGGACTAGGAGGGGGGAGAGGGGGAAGGAAGGGGGGGGAGGTGAAGGGAAGGGGGGGGGGGTGGGGGGGGAGAGGGGAGGGGGGAGGGGAAGGAGGGGAGGGGAAAGGGGGGGGGGGGGGAAGGATAAGTGGGGAAGGAAGGGGGGAGGGGGAAAGGGGGGTAAGGGGGGAGGGGGGGGGGGGGAGGGGGGGGGGGAAGGAAGGAAGGGGAGGGGGGGGGAAAGGGGGGGGGAGGAAGGGGGGGGGACGGGGGAAGGGAAGGGGAAGGGGGGGGGGGGAGGGGGGGGGGGGGGAAGGGAAGGAAAAAAGGGGGGGGGGGGAATGGGGGGGGGGAAGGGGGGGGGGGGGAAGGAAGGGAAGGAAGGGGGGGGAGGGGGGGGGGTGGGGGGGAAGGAAGGAAGGAAGGGGTGGGAGGGGGGGGGGGGGGGGAAGGGGGGGGGGGAGGGGGGGTAGGGGGGGGGGAAGGTAGGAGGGATTGGGGAAGGGGGGGTGGAAGGAAGGAAGGGGGGGGGGAAGGAAGGAAGGGAGGGGGGGAGGAATGGGTGGGGGGGGGAAAAAGGAAGGGGGGGGGGGAGGGGGACAGAAGGAAGGTAAGGGGAAGGAAGGGAGGAAATTGGTTTAGGGGGGGAGGGGAGAGGGGGGGGGGGGGGAGAAAGGAAGGAAGGGGGGGGGGGGGAAGGGGGGGGGGGGGGAAGGAAGGGGGAAGGGTAGGGGGAAGGGGGGGGGGAAGGGGGAGGAAGAGGGAAGGAGGGGGGGGGGGGAAGGGGGGGGAGGGAAGGGAAGAAGGGGGGGGAAGGGGGGGGGGGGGAAAAGAGAGGGGGGGGGGGGAGGAATGGAGAGGGGAGGGAGGGGAAGGGGGGGGGAAGGGGAAGGAAGGGGAAGGGGAGGGGGTGGGGGGAAGGGGGAGGGTATGGGGGGAAGGGGAGAGAGGAGGGGGGGAAGGGAGGGAGGGGGGGGGGGGGGGGGAAGGAGGGGTGGAAGGAAAGGGGGGAATGGAGGGAAGGAAGGGGGGGGATGGAAGGGGGGAGGGATGGGGGGGGGGGAAAGGAAGGGGGGGGAAAGGAACGGAGGGGGGGGGAGTGGGGGGGGGGGAAGGGGGGGAGGGGGGGGAGGGTGGAAGGGGGGGGGGGGGGTTCAGGTGGAAGGAAGGAGGGGGGGGGGAAAGGGTGGGGAAGGGGGGGGGGTGGGAGTAATGGAAAGGATGGGGGGAAAAAAGGGGGGGGGGGTGGAAGGAAGGGGGGGGGTGGAAAGGGAAAGGGGGGGTGGGTGGAAGGAAGGAAGGAAAGGAAGGGTGGATGGGGGGGGGTGGGGGGGGTTGGGAAGGAAGGAATGGGTAGAAGGAAGGAGAGGAGGAGAGGAAGGAGGGTGGATGGAGGGAGGAAGTGAGAGGGGGGGAATGGAGGGGTGGGGGGAAGGAAGGAAGGGTGGAAGGAAGGGAGGAGTGGGAGTCCAGAAGGAAGGAAGGGTTGGTGGAAGAAAGGGGGGGGAAGGATGGAAGGAGGAGGAGGAAGGGACAGGGTGGAAGAAAGGAGGGGGGTGGGAATGGAAGGAAGGGGGTGGAAGGAAGGGAGGGGAGGGTACAAGGGGGAAGGAGGGTGAAGGATAGGGAGGGGAGGGTTAGAAGGAGGGGGGGAGGGGGGTGGGAAGGGAAGGAGGGGGGGTTGGAAGGAAGGGTGAGGGGGTGGAAGGATTTTGAGGGAGGGAGGGGGGGGGAAAGGAGAAGGAAGGAAGGGAAGGGTGGGGGTGGAAGGATGGAAGAGAGGGGGAGTGGAGGGATGGAGGGGAGGGGGGGGGGGAAGGTTAGGTCAAACACATCATGACTCCTTCAGATACATCAGAGCTGTGACTGTCGACTGTTGGGGCTGCTGTGTTCACTTTCCACCCACACCTCCTCTGAAGCTGCACAGACTGGAGTGTGAGCGGGGACAGGGGGGGAGGCAGAGCAGATCAAGCCTCTCTCCCCTCTTCTCCTATTGGTGCAGAGGATGGAGGGAGAGGGGGGGGGCTGCTGGGGCAGTGAGAAGAACTCAGCGGCTGGAACACAGCGGCGGGTGGGAAGGGTGGAAGGAAGGGAAAGGGAGGGGAGGGTAGGTAAAAGGAGAATGGAAGGAAGGGGGAGGGTAGAAGGAAGGGAGGGGGGGTGGGAAAGATGGAAGGAGGGGGATTGGAAGGAAGGGAAAGGAGGTTTGGAAGGATGGAAGGGGTGGAAGGATAGAAGGGAGGGAGGGGGGGGAGGTGGGAGGAAAGATGGAAGGGAAGGAAGGGGGTGGAAGGAAGGGAGGGAGGGGAAGGGAGTTGGAAGGATGGAAGGGAGGGTCACCCAAAAAGTAAGGGATGGTGTTTTTTTTTGTTGACTTCCACCATTTTGAGATAGGGATCTATTTGCCTTTCTAGAGTATAGCCTGTATGGACAATAGTGTAGAAGGTTCTTTCGGCTGAGGAATGTGTGTAGGGATCTACTGCCTTTCAATGCCTGTATTTGTAAATGCTATGCTTCGGCTGATGATATATTATGTATGCACTTTCTGTCCCTGGGTTGTTCGGTTGAAAACCCCAGAAAAAGGAAGTGGTGAGATAAAAAGAGAAAATCTTAGACATGTCCTGTCCATGGGGCAAGTTGTTTCTGAACAGTGTACTACAGTATATTAGTAAGTGGATCTGTTTATTGCAATAGAATTTATGTACATATCTTGTTATTTTAGTTAACCTGGTCCCTTCTGGCCTGTGATTATACAGCTAGTTTTAGCTTTAGCTCAACCTGCATGTGCTAGAGCCAGGTTAGCATCCAACAGGCACTTCTGGTAGTTTGAGGTCCAGATGCATGACAGATTAGAAACTACTAGGGATATAGATATAATGCCACCAAGGTTTTGGCTGGTGAGAATCTGCATTCCAGGCTAGTTGGACATTGGCTGGAGAATCTCCTATTAATATTGTCTTGCATTGCGATCACCCTGCAACTAAACTTTGCTGCAACATTCATCTGGAGGTATCCTTATTAACCTCCCTGGCGGTATGATTCCTTCCAATTTTTTGTGCTGAAAGCGGTACCATTTTTTCGCATGGAAATAGTTTTTTATTGTAGGCTGTAATTTTTAGGAAAAATTCCCCACAAATCATTATCACTCAATTCTGTAAGTGGTTCTAATTTACTATCGCTGTTCTCTAGCCGGTCTAAAACCGCTTTTGACGTAAAGGGACGCTTTTTGGACGCCATGGACTTTTCTAAGTTTCCAGGCAGAAAGAACAGACAAAATGCAGGCAGGGCACAGGACAAAGCACTAGGGACAATATGTATGTGAAATGGGAT